ATTGGGATAACACCTACTTCACATTTGTTACATGCTTCAATTCATATAGCATAACTTGAAAACATTTTTTAACAATTGCTGCTCACGTTTTTTCTTGCTGAAAAAGCTTTCTTAGTTTTCCCCTTCTATGTAATTTTTAACGAGGGGTTGGGGAGTTGATGTTTACCATACTATGCTGATAGATGTTAAGTATAGATTGTAATCTAGATTTGCTAGCAGTTATTTACTAGAGGAATAGAGCTTATTCACATAGTAAAGTTAATGCTCACTTAGCTTAGTGAATGAGGTAACGCTGTGTTCACTTCATCATCCAATCATGTTCTAGCAAAAATCCTGCTTTGTAATTTACTTTGCATATGGCTTGGTGTTTAACCCTTTTGTTGCCAAGCCTCCGGATCATTTTGCACCTCAGCTGGCCACACCATATTTGCAATTTGTCCCATTGATTTGATTTTCAACTGCTGCGTTGCTAGCGTTTGTAAAAGACTATATATTTTCTGAAAGCGCAGGCCCGGTAGAATAAAAAGATAGTTCTACAATTAGGCCCTGCGATAATTGCACAAATGTTTCTCAAATTTACATTAAACCGATAAAAATACACAATTCAATTGATAAAACACACTAAAATCAGTATCAGTGCACAAAAAAATATTTGCTGACTAAATCTAAAAGATAAAACTGTATTGAGTTAATAAATAACAAATATTTAGACATTTTAAATTGCGCCTTTTTGCGAAAAGGTAAAAAAAATTAAGGATCGCAAAACTGTAAACAAGCGACTTATGTTAAAAATTGTTTTTTGCGCTGTGTAGGTGCTTGTGTTGCGACAAAATGATACAGGCGTTTATTTGCAACACAAGGTATCACAACGCACAGCATTGCGTCACAATGCTTTGCAATTGCGCTGCCACAGTTAATGTTTTTTTTAAAAGAAAAAAATCATGCACTGTGATACGTTCTAACAACACACTGCAGCGCATGTGCATGGCATCACCACCATGTATGTAATGTGTGTGGGGAGGAGGGGGGGTTGTGTTTTGTTTTTTTATTAGTTAATATTTTTTTTTACAAATTTTTTATATTTTAATAATTTTATTTTTCTTACATTTTTTTACTCATTTTTTGGGGAGAAGCCTCTGAGAAGCCTCTGTAGTGAATGCTTCTCCCCGTTCATGAATGAACAGGAAGTGATGTATAAATCTAACAAAAAAGGTCGGGTTACCTATGGAGTATAGGGAGTCCACGGGTTAATTTAAAAATCGGGACAGACCAAAAGTTTGAATTGTTCTTAGAAAAAAGGTTTATTCATATAAAATTGAACAACAGACATGGCCAATCTCTACTTATCGACCAAATAAAAACAATACGAAAAATCTGAACTGACTGTGAATACGGCAATCTTTATGTAGGACAGCCTAAGATTAAAGCACATCCGTCAGGGCTTATAGCAACTTCCAAGTCCGAATATAATACATATTTCGATCATTGGATAATAATCCTGTGACACTTAGTTTTGCTTGTGTCTGTTTGTTGGGCAATATGTATTTATAATGTAAATAACATCCTGTTCATTCATAACTGGGGACACATACTACTATGTGTCCCCAGTTATTTACAAACACTGGAGTGATCAGACGATCACTCCAGTGTTTGTCCTTCACACAGAGGATTGGTACATATCACTGATATTTACCGATCCTCCGCTCTGCCACGCACACAGCCGATGTCTTCCGGGAACTGACAGGATGACCGCCGCTGCTCTCTTCTCCCCGCTGGGCTGCTCTCATGCCGCTCAATCACCGTGATCGAGCGGCTTGCTCCTCCGCCTCCCCCCCCGCCGGCCATTTCTATTCAGATACCCGCTGCTTCAGCCCATACAAGCGGGGGGGAGCAGTGGGGATTCATTGAGACACAGATCCCTGCCTGGAGCGGCTCCAGGCAGGGAGGAGAGCCTGAACATGTCGGCGTGGGTGGGGTGCCCAGAATTTTTGTTAATAGCTGTCATCAGCGGCTTGTGAGCCGCTGATGACAGCTATTAATTTAAAGGGGACTGTCCAGGGAACAGTTCTGCAATAAGTTAATGGTCGCTAAAGGTCATAAGGCATACTGACTTGTGGTATTGTGAACAGTTTTGTTCCGCCGTATGCCTTATGGCAGGGAAAGGGTTAAAGTAAATACAGCTGAATTATATTTACTAAATTAAGTGAACATACACTTTAAAAGTGAAAAATTATTTGTTCCCAAGCTCCTCAGATTCATCTAGTGGCCAAAATGCAGTATTACATTACATACATTTGACCTGAAAATAAAATGTATCTTAAAACATTCATTTTTGTGTCTATTTATAGTATTTAGATTTAAAGCACACTATTACACACACATTTCTGGAGCTTAGAAATTAAATATATGAAGTTCCTCTCTTTCATACAATTGAATGAAAATAACCTATATCTAAGAGCATTCATTTTTGCGTCTGTTTGCACAGAACGAACATTCACAAGGATTCTCAGGGCAAATGGCACTGCAAATTGGTTACAAATAGACTATAGAACAGTATACTAACATAGATGATAGAATAGATTACTAGTCAATAACTTAAGAAAACAAATATAAAACATACACACTTTAGAACTTAATATTTCAGCTGTGTTGTAACCCTGGACCTTCTAACTTGTGATGGAGAACACCTAAATTAAGAACCTTTTAACTGTGTGAAAATACCAAAGTTAGGCATTGACATTGCTTTACTTTTCTCCAGATACAGTATGGCCAAAAGTTATTACCATTTGGGCCCTGTAATATGACAAGAGCTGTGCTGGAATGTGAAATGCGTTTATTTTTTTAACTTTACTATAAAAAAGGGAAATGCAGAACTGCCAGCTTTTCCCGGCAAGCAGGCATCCAGTCAGAAAACATGCAGCTAATATACTTGCCATATGAATGCCAGTGCTTCAGCTTTTGGTCAGTATTTTATGTGGAAGGGGTTCCCCAAAATGAACCTGTGAAAAACACCACTACCTTTGTTAAAATGTTTCTCATAGATGTATAAATCAAATCAACCTGACAAACAAAGGGATTCTCTCAGGATTCCAAGGTTTCTTCACTCTAGTTCTCAAGTACCCCTAACTTGACATGATTTCTGGTTCTCTTTAAACCAGTATCCTTGGCTCAGTAAACTGAGGATCACTGCTCCTTAGCACCCATCAATAACATTTTCCCTTTTCTACACCCAGAAGCTATGTGGAACAGATATTAGGGGAGTTAAAAGAGAACTATGGGGCAAGTATTTTTCTCCATAGTTCTCTTTCGGGTAACAGGAGGACATATACTAACCTCCTCCCATGACCCAAAGCTCAGTATATATTGCGGGCTATTGCCCCCGATATACTGAGAGCACCGAAGCCAGGACCGATCTCGAGAATACTGTTGAGATCCACCCAGCTGTGTGAGTGACAGCTGATTCTGCCTATCTAGAGGGCCCACCCCCTCCCCCATTGGTTCCTCTATTCAGCGCTGGAGGAGCATGGTGGGGGAATCCCTGCGGGGAGCGGTGACTCAGTCACTGCTCACTGCAGGGAGACGTTCAGAAATGAGCGGATCGGCGGCATGTTTTTGCTCACTTCCTGATCAATAGAGCCGAGCTGTGACAGCTTTTTTGTCACAGGTCACCTCTAACTATGAGGATGAGCGGAAATCACTCTTTTTACGAGGGGGTAAGTAGAGATCTGGATGGAGGGAGGTCTGTGGATGTGGTATATTTGGATTTCGCTAAGGCTTTTGATACGGTACCTCATAAACGCTTACTTCACATTTTCACTATGTAATTTCACTCACCTCATAGTTCTCCTTTAAACACCTAGTTCTTCCTGGGGCATCATAAATGGAGAAGGACCTCATGCCTTCAGGACTGGATTAATGTTTGTTTTTTTACCATTTTTATTAATGAATCAATATGCCACTTAGTAAGGATTATAAGCAAGAACATTGCTCAGTTTCATATATTCAAACTTTCTGAGATGAAAAAAAGGGACAACTTCCAGTGCCATGCCCCTAGTTTGAATTTAAATGCCAAAAATGATTGGTGTCTTTTTTTCACCATCACTTTTCACTTTTACTGGCTTTTCATAGAAATCAAATAAGATAATTAAGAGATAGGGTAAAGATTTTTGTGCAGAACACACTTTTGAGTGTTAAAGAGTACCTATTCATAGATATCTGTACATTAGACTAAAAAAGAGGGACAGATTAGGAGGAAAGTGGACAGAGGGATTTGGTTCCAAATGATGGACAATTGGAATGTGAATAAAAAGGTGCAGGCTGATGCAGTGTTTCCAGTCTTGTTGTGTCCTGTAGTCAAGGAGACAGAGTAGTTATGGATAGCTTTATTAACAAGTTCAGGCATCCCAAACAGGAATGGGAACAAACTTGAACAGAGCATAGGAAGTACAGGCCAGAGGTATGAAGATTTCTTACAGAAAATACAGCCTCAACTGTCCATTTATACAGAAAACAAGTGCGGTATATCAATTATATTACTACTGTGATTATTATAAAGTAGCAGAGAAGCATTCTTTGTCATTTGTGCAACGTCATTTCTTTATACATATGCAGGACTATTCTTTAATGTATGTAGTGTGTTACCCTAGCAAAGATACATAGATATATGCTCTGACCTAACCTACCAAAAACATTGCTGGAAGAATGGAGTAGCTTAATGTCAGGATTACACCTTTATACAGGATTTGCTGTGCCTTACTTATGGCCCTTGCATGTCTCCTGCAAGTGAGGTATCTACACCATATTTAGTTGGACATCCTTATTACAGATGTTTTTAGAAGGATAATGATTTCTGAAAGTGCCTAGCACACCAGACACTTGTAATCGGAAGCAATACGTTTCCAGAAAGCTCGGTGTATTAGGAACATATAATTATTGCTTTCCTATTTAAATGTTAAACTTGTTTGTAAAAGTATATTTTCTCACTTTTTGAACTTATTCAGCGTCAACCAGTCTGGGACTCGGATGTCTTGTCTGCCAGAAGTGGGGGCTCACCTAACCAAAAACTCCTGAAAGAAGCTTTAACCGCAAAGGAACTGCAGAGCATGGAAAAGCATCTAGCTGGTATGTGCTGAAAACTGCTTGTTAGCGTGCATTAGGAATAGAGAAATGTTCAGCAGTTTAAGGATGAGCTAAATAAAAAGCCATCTGCATGTTATCAAATATGTTTTTATTTCTTGCTCTAACATTTTGACTCATCATTTAAGCTGTGTTATCAGTGAACTGGACAACAGGATCTTACAAACCTTTCAGCTGATAATAAAATCTCAATCTGTAATTCTAGTTGGCATTTTTCAGGTTTGTGACTGTGTTTATAGTACTTGCCACCCATAAAGAAATATATTTTATATTTAGAAGTCTCCATTAAAATATGATTCATAAATATTTCAAGAATGTTTGAAGAAAAAAAAGGTTGGGTGCTTAGTGTTTATGAGCATTCACTTAAATTTTATAGCACAGGCTTCTGCTGATTCAGTCCTCCCCAAACTGATATTTCATGCTGGTGAGTTAATTCAGCTGTTTCTTAAAGGAGAACTATGGGGTCAGTGTTTTTCCCCATAGTTCTCCTTAGGGTAACGGGAGGACACAAACTAGCGTCCTCCCATTACCCTAAGCTCAGTATACCGCGAGCTACAGTTCGCGGTATACTGAGATGCCGCAGCCGGAGCGGATCCCGACGTAGATGACGGGATCCGCCCAGGTGCGTGAGTGACAGCTGGCTCTGCCTATCTAGAGGCAGAGCCAGCTGTACCTACCCCCTCCCCCGTCCGTTCCGCCAGTCAGCGCTGGCAGATCGGAGCGGGGAGAGGGGAATCCAGCCCTCCCCCTGTCACGGCAGAGAGCCGTGACAGGATCGAGAGGTGAGCGAATCTGGTATGTGTTCGCTCACCTCCCGATCTACTGAGCCGACCTGTGACAGTCTCATTTTCACAGGTCGGCTAGAACTATGAGGTGAGTGGAAATCATCTCATAGTTCTCCTTTAAAGCCAAACTCCAGGTATAATTGTTTATGCTTACTTACATTGGTCCAGCAATGCCCAATTTAAGTATGCATATGCCACACCTGATCAGCCCATGGGGATCCTGTGAGGTCCTGTAGTAGTCAGAGATACTACAGTGCTTCACATTGTCTTTTGAGTCTTGTATGGCTCTGTGCTAAGTGGCTTCCCCACTGCTGTGAAAACAAAGTGTTGCTTGCACGGCACATCAGCCATTCAGAGCATGCCTAGTATTCTTATTAATTAATTGAAGGCATTACAATCTGTCCTTCATCCAATCAGAGAATGCTTAGTATTCATTGATAAAAAATACTAGGCATTCTCTACAATGCTTTACAAGGTCCCAGTGGGCCAATCAAAGTGGCAAATGCATATTAACATGTGCTAAACTGAACCAGTGTGCCAAGTATGCATAATCATTTATACCTGGAATTCAGCTTTAAGTCTCTAAGGTATTTTATTAAAACCTGGACAAAAAAGGCAGGACTAAAAGTGGAACTGCTGGCTTCAGTACTTTCTGGGACCTTGAACAAGTATGCAGATCAGGAAAGTCATAGAAAAGATAGTATTTATTTAGAGAGAGTAGAGATTTACAGTAAAGATAGAAGTATTTATTGGCATACTTGTTCCTGGTAAGTAACACATTTGAGGTCAGCATGGCAACCAGTCAGCTAACACTTTTACAAGCTCAGCAATACTATCCTTCATAACCCACAATGTCTAAAGTGAGTGAATGTGATAAATATGCAACAACTGATACTGTTTATTGTGCTGTATGGTCTTGAAGACCTGATCTTACCAATTTGATACTGTATATACTGTATGTTTAAATCTAATAATGTTCTACTTAGTTTAAATCGCTACACTAGATCTGCTGGTGTACTGCTGTGTAAAATAGCTGACGAAAAAGGCAGGAAATATAATTTTGCTTCAGTAATAAAACAGGAGGATTACATATATATCTTTTTACAGTATATATATAAATGATATTTAATTTTTTTATGCAGTCAGTTTAGATATTAAGTTCATAGGTCCTTGTATGTTCCCAGAAAATCTGAAATCTAGGGCAGGTATAACATGGAAATCGAATGCTGATTGTCATTGATAAGCTGCCCATATTGACACAAATTGGCATCAGTAAAGTGTTATAGAGCATCAATGCTATGTGTGATATTACCCATAAGGAGATGTACCCTTCTTGTTTGGTGTACCTGCACTTCATTAGGGCCACACAGCGATGAAATGACAATATTGCGCTAAGCTAAACTTGTCTGTGAAGATTCTCATTCATCCAGGTCATGGTATATCTGTAAAAGAAAATAGGTCACGGCAACTGGACTTGAGGTATTTTTCTTGAATATGTTTCACTGGACATCTAAAGGAAAAAGGTCACTCCTTTGAAGACAGTCAAATACGCATCCTAGACAGGGAGGAGGACTAGTTTAAAAGAGGCATGAAAGAGGCCATTTTATGCAAAAATGGAGAAGCCAAGCTTGAATAGCGGTGGGGGGGGTGAGACATCTATTGTCTGCCACATACAATGCTGTTTTAACACCTCTCTCTGGACAGGTTATGTGGATTGGAGCATTCACCATATTTATTCCCAGAGAATTTTTCGTACAAGTCATTCTGAAATGAGAAAGCTGGTTGGATGACCAGTGAAACGTCTTCAAGAAAAATACAGCAAGTCCAGTTACCTTGACTTATTTTCTTTTACAGATAAGCTAAACATGTTTTTGCCACATTCTGCAAATAACAGTGTAATAGAGTGCCTGTACATGGCTACCCTCAACCTTCTTTCTTCCTGGCTCATTTGAGTCATGGGGTGTAATAAAATACTAAATTTGAAATCCAACTGTGTTTATATATTCCCTTAATTCATTTAAATTAGGTCTGCTTTTTAGTATGCCGATTTCTCATTATTTTGTTGTTGCTACAATGGATTATTCATCTAGATGAAAATCTGAAATACAAACTATTTAGGTTTCTTCAGAACTGTATTTTCTGAAATAATATCAGTGTTTTTTTCTATAACCTTACAGCAATATTACACGGTTTAATGGTAGAGTATAATACATTTTAGCCACCTAGAAGCAATTAGGCCAACTGCTGCAAAATGTAAAATTTTACTGCTCATGAAATAGTTCAACAATATGCATCCAACAGCATTTAAATACTGTGTGCCAAGATATTCAGTTCCTTTCCAGGCATTGAGGGATAGAAAGAGCCCGGAGACTTTCCTTGAAAACATCACATACTTGGTGCTGTGTACCCCTAATGTTAGTTTAAAACTTACCTCTTTCAGGTGAACCTCTGGCCAGGCTATGAACATTCAATAATTTACATAGTGTATTTCTTAAGACCAAGTCCAGCTTGGGCAAAAAATTAAACATAATTCCCCAGCCACTTGTAAAAATAAAAAAAGCATCTCCAGCCACCATATCCACCTTCTTTCCAGCACTGTCCCCCAGGAGATGAACACTTATCCAGCTTCTGTCCTCTTCTGGGTTGGGATGGCCTTTGTAGCTGCAGGTACTTTGGAGCAATGCATCCTTAAAGAGAATGACTGAAGACATTTCAATCCAGTCTCAGCACTCTGCTTCCTCCCCTCTAAAAAGCACCTGTGTTTACATTAAAGATTAGAATGCTTTCTGGCTGCTGAGTCATTGCTGGGATGGATAGTAGAAAAAGTACAGCTGCAGAAAATGAATGTAAAAATACTTTTGCTAATTAGGTCAGTAAGGATTCATTTTAAAGCTTATTTACGGCTTATTAGGATTAATTTTTTAAATATCTATAGCTTGGCCACAGTTGCACTTTAGGCCCCATTCACACTGAGCGATTTATCACGCGGTAATTCCCGCGATATCGCTCTCCAATTCATGGCAATAGGTCTCTGTCCGTCGCTGTCGCGGGTTGAGCGGATTTTGCGGCGATTCTAGTTTGCTCAATGCAAGCATTTGCGCGATATCGCAAATCGCACGATTTGCGAATCGCTCAGTGTGAATGGGGCCTAAAGCTTTAAAACAACACCATCGATCACTTTAAAAAAACGGTTCCCTGTAACAGAAGAGCTGTTATACTTACACCTGTGGAGGGCCCATGTCGCCTACCATCGATCAGTTCTATTGCTGCTGTCTCTATCAGGCTCTTCTGCACATCTGAGAGCATTGAATGCTTGTGTCCCTTGCTGCATGCTGTGGTTACATTCATCGACCAACGTATCACTGCAGGACCCAGCAATGGTGTAAGGGTATTAGGAAGGAACCAACGTACATGGCTCAGGAGACGGTTATCTGACAATGATGTGCTAAATGCCAAAGAGCCTGATAGAGGGTGCAGCACGGAAACAGAAGATGGTAGGAGACACAGCCTGTCAGAAAGGTGAGTGTCAAAGCTCTTCTATTGGAGAGAAATGGCCTATTTAATTTTTTTTTAAAGTTAAAAAAAAAAGAAATTCACAGTACCACTATGCAATAGCCACTGCATGCATGAGGTAGATTTATCCATAGGAGTAGCGACAGATTCAGCAATCCTATTCATGGCCCTTTCTCACCATTCACCATGCACTATACAAGCTTTAGTGGGCTGCAGTGACATTAATTTTGAATAGCACCACAACCCACCTCCACAACAAACACGGGTTGCACTAAATTTTCATGCATTGAGGTGCGTTGCAGACCATTCATTATGAATTGTCTACCTAAAGCAGTGCACCTTAATGTATAAAAGTGAATGTTTTGTGTACGGCATCGTGATGCGAACCACCCTGAAGGTATTCACATAAGGCTAGGTCTGCTTCTTAGATATGACTATCTGCATACTTCTTATGGAACTGCATATAATTCTTTAGCATTTTTTTCTAAATATAATTTACTGAAAGCCCAAGTCAGAAATTTCCTGCCACACCTGCCAAATAACTGCAGTCCACTAAAGCTGTCCAATTGGAGCATTTTCAGTTCTTTTTAGTTATAGACTAGAAATACTCAGATCGAATGTCAGACCCATTCAGAATCTTTCCAGTTCAGGATCCAGTACAGGATGTACTTTGAGGGAAATGTTACAGTAAAGGTCGACCCAACTGTGTGTGGTAGATCTTGTGTTGCATCGGTGTCCCTCAATTATGCAATAGATTGTTTCTCATTTACTAAGAACAACCACATAACCATTACATATCTAGTTACGTAATATAGGCTCCAGGAGATTTAAATTAGTTTACACATTTTTTTGATTGAATGTCATTGCCAAAACCAAAGAGATTGCACTTGACATTTCCAGAAATTTCTTGTTAAAATAACATTGGTAGATACCACAGTGTACAAAAAAACGGTACATTACAGAATGGAGCAAGTTTCTAATTGCTGTGATAGCATAAATAACTGTATTTGCCTGGCAACAATTGTTTGAAGTGTATTTTTAGATTGTTTGTGTGAATTTTAGATTGCAGAATTTGATCCAAGTGTTTTTTTTTGTCATATGCTCTCTGTTATAGTTTCAGCTGCTGCTATTGAGAGAATTTGAGCCTTTAAGCTTTACAAGCAATATCAGCAGAAAGTTAATGTTTCACCAGGCCTTAGAGGTTTGTGGCACACACTACAAAGCCTTGTTCTGTGGAAAAAAAACATAATTTCAAAATTGACACAGAATAAAAAAAAGTAAAAACAGTGATTGTAGTGTTATTGAAAGAATGTTCACTGCCTCTATAAGAGTTTATTTTGGTATTACAGATATTGAGAAAGACTTGGCACTAATGGCAGAAGCAAGCATGTCAAAGAGTTCTGGAAATCAACCTGGGGCTGGTGCAAACGATCCTCAAGGAACTTACCATATATCAAGTTTGCAGAATCCAAAGCCACAAGTGCCAAATCAAACCACCAAGAACTTACAGCTTCACCTTCAAGGGAACAAATCACCTCCACAACCTAACAGTAGGACCCATGTTTCAAATCCATCAAGCAGCAGGCCACAGACTCCAAATTCCCAATCAAGTAAACTTCAGACACCTGTGACTCCAATTGGCAAGCCTGGAACACCAAATAGCCTGGTGTCTCGACCACTCACCCCTAGTAAACAAGGAAGTAAAGATGGAATGACTCCTGTCCCTAGGAGTAGATCTGTAACTGTTAAAAGTCAGATTGGATGGACTTCTAGTGCGCTGTCTGGAGTTCCAGCTGCAGACACCTTAGCAACTGCCTCTCGGCGTAACAGCTCTGCAGAGGTAAGAACAAGCATTCATTCAGTCTGTTATAAAAGTAATCACAGATCATAGCATGATAATGTCAACATTTATACCTGCAATTACAATATAATTTTAGTTATCAAAAATCTTTATCTAAAGTTGTAAAAATTGTTAGTAAGGCAGTCAATTTGTGCTTTTCTATTTTGATACGTTATCTAAAAGTCAGTGAAAAAAGAAATGAAGCAAATATAAAAACACCCTTAGCCCAGTTATGTCCTCAGTAAAAATCTTTAAAGTAAGCCTGTTCCCAGACTGTGCGCAGCAAAGTATTTACATATTCTGAACATGCAATAAAGGCATTTTACACAAGCTGTCATTCACTCCTGCAGTTATAGGCATTGTGGAGAATCTATTCTTCGAAGTTCAAAACAGAGGCACTGAAACTATTGGATTGTTACAGGGAGGACTAAGAAAAACAAAAACTGCTGTATTAATGTTATTACAATGCTATTGCATCATAAATGTAATTTTAAATGTGAATGTAAGTTTTTATTTTGACAATCATTTCACTTTAAGTACACTTTTATCACCTTAGAACTTTATTTGATTTAAAAGATATACACTTTTCTCCTGTAAACAATAATCACATGTTAAAAAAGGGCATTTTATATTTATTTGTAAAACCAGTCTACTGAATCTGGTAAAGAAGCGTTGAAGGTGGCATGCTGGTTACATTCATTCAATCTGCCAGAGCATAGATACAGTAAATTTAGAAATGGAGAATTACACGCAACATTAAAGAAGAATAAAGATGTCCACATGGGGCCTTCTCTGCAGCTAAGATGAGATGTCAGCACCGACATCACTCACTGTGCACTGAGCTTTAGGCTGAAGGTTTCCTTGTGTGTCTGTACACACTGAATGATGACTGTGCTGACATTTCACTGCAGCTGGATAGCAGCACTTTGTCTGCTGGAGAATGATTGTACTACTAAGGCATTTCCACCTGGTCAAACCTGCTTAGAGCAAAATGCTGCAGCAGAAATGTACAAGGTGTAATTTATTGGATGGGATTTGTGTGATTTAATATAACCTACATTTCTTACATGGTTAAGTTGGACCTCTCAGCAATTTTATACGTCTGCATGAATACATTCCTGACATGTCACAAAAAGAAGAAAGAGTGTAATTTTTGTAAAACGCTATACATTTTATCTGGAAGAGGTACTTCTTAAACAGCACTCAAATTACTTTGCCAAAGCTAAAATGGGCAATTTGGGAAAATGTCATTAGCCTGCTGCAGGCAGGAGAAAGAAAATCACTCCCCTAGTGATTGAACTAGAACACTGTAACTTTGTAGCAATTACACGGTGGGATACTGGAGCAGGGGCTGATTTGTGCCCCACATTTCTTAAGACAGCCAGAAACTCTGCAGGAATCAGGATTTACAAGGTTGTATCATCTCTGAGCCAGCATCTCAGTCCAGGAAGTAGATGCTGACCCTGGATAAAGGATGGTGCTGTCTGTCTGGAGAGAAAGGCGGATACAGGCATACGGATAAGTCCACTTGAGAAATATTGAAGTTTTGTGCATTGCATATTTATTGATATCTGAGACCTAATGGGAAGCTCTCCCTTTCTACTATAACAGGCAGAGGTTTGTTGAATGATGTACTTTCTAGTAACCATCTCCAGAGTTTTCTCCATATAATCCTTAGTAGAATTTCCTAGGTTCATTTTATTAGTTCATTGCTGTGCTGTATGTGTATAGGCCAATGTAGTTGGATCTGTATGTGCATTATCATTAATCAAAATTATTCGATTCATCGATTAAAAATGTTTTCGATTAATCGAACACGAAAATTTTAATCATTACCAGCCCTATTTAAAACACCTAACCTCAAATCTGTATGTATACTGAAACTGCATCAATCACTATCTGAAATCTGACACCAGACTTACAGTGGGAGTGCCTGGGGGTACTTAGGTGGTCCTACATGTAGTTCACTCCTAATCCAAATAGAAGGCAAAAGGCATAGAACAGAGCCTGCAGAGCATCAGATTTTAAAACAATTTGCTACCCACTTATGTCAGATAGAAATGTAGTATACCCTGTACCATATAAAGGTGTTTGTTTTTTTAAAAAACTGTTTTGGCAGCTAATACAGTCCCTATGTGTTTTAACTGCATATAAAGGATCTTGGCTGGAGTTCCCTTTTAAGAGAATAGATTTTTTTAAAGGAAAATGGAAATCCCCAATAAGATTGGAACACCTCTCTGTAGTATTACAGAGGCACCCCCAATTTACAAAAGCTGCCTTATAAACAATAGAACCCTTATCCCATTGTCTGCAGTACATAAAAGACTAAAGTAAAAACACAATTATTGCATTTTTCTGGTCAAGCCATATTATCAACATTTCCCAGAATGTGGAGCTGCAGGTAAAACTAAAAATTGCTTGATTATGTTTAAAAATCCCCTTTAATATAATTATGAGTGGTTTGAAATTCTGCCAGGGTGAACTAAAGATCTTGATTGTGATAAACTATGATAAAGTCTATAAAGTAAGCGGCAGAACTTAGATTAAATTAGGTCTTTTACCTAACTACAAAAATGTTTTTTCAACAATGAGTTAAGAAAACAAGATAATGTTATCACTTGCATATGTATGATATTGGTAATCAGCATGGTTTCATTCAACTTTTCTGTTCAGGGGAAGCGTGGACACGGAGGAAATCAGGAGAACTTTATGTTTTTTTGCCAGTGACCTGTTGATGAACTACTATATTTGTAGCCCCTAATATCTTTGTCCATGCTATAGCCCTTGATCAGTACAGTCATATGGACAATATTATCTCCATGACCATCAATAAACACTTAGATGATTGCAGTTTTCCACAGGAAGCAACAAAATGCATTTTTTTGATAATTCTATTTGCATAAAAATGCAGATATCTTGTTAGCTAGGAGTTGTATGTCTGGAAGTCATGGATCAACTCCCACACGCCTTCCAGATGAGATAAAATGAATGTAATTATTTTTTTAAATGCTGTGCCAAGATCCCAATTATAGATTAAATGGAACACACACATACACATAACATAGCCAAATGTTATCATCTCCTGTAAACTACTACCTAGCATTCAGTCTTGTACTGCAACTTACTACTTCACTACATGTGGTAATCATTTCCCAATGTTTCTATAAGGCTTATGATATGGTTTTACCTGTGCGTAATATAGTCTAGCAGATTTAATATTTTTTGTTGTGCAATATGTTTGAAGAAAAATGATATAATTTTCACCATGGAATCTCACGTGACCCACAAGACCAATGGATCTGCTGATCTTTATTTTACAGTGCCTGTGCTTTATCTATTAGCACTAAGGGCCGGTTCACAGGGCCGTCGTCGGAGGGGTACCGCCGATAGTCATGTAAGGGGCCCGGGCAGCCTTAGGGGCCCGAGCACCTTACATGTGTATCGGCCGACACCCATACAGGTTGCTGGAGGGAGGTGGAGGGGGCCCGTACTCTTCATATCCTCACCTGAAGTGCTCTGTACGGGCCTCCGGTGTCCCCAGGGGTCTCCACTGTACGTTAGGTTTTTAAAGATGGCCGCCGTGAGTAGCGACGGCCATCTTTAAACCTGGCAAATGCCCACATTATATTTAATATATTGCCGAACTGGCAATATATTAAATGGAAATCATTCCCTGGTGGTCCAGAGGGGAATCAGTATGAGCTGCATCTCTTGCTGATGCAGATCATACTGATCGCTCCCTCGTGGTGCCGCTGCTGATTTAGCAGGGATCGATTAGTATGGTCTGCACCAGTGCGCCAGCCAGAGTGCAAAGTACACTGATCCTTCACTCGACCACCAAGATAATCCCCAAGTGCCACACTGGACCCAGGGATGCAGCCCCCCTTCCTGCAAAACAGGTAAGCAGGAGAGGGGGACATTTTTTGATTAACTATTTTTACTTTTAATAGTTGTGAGAGTGTGTTTTTTTTTTTAAAATTAATGAGTGTGTGATATGTGCGTTTGTTTCATTACTTGTGTGTGGTTTTTGTTAACCACTTCCCGTGGGTTGACGTAAATGTACGTCCTCCGCTGGAAGTGGTTATACCAAGAATATGGCTGCTCCTGCAGCCGTGTTCTTGGTACCGTACCGTAGCCACGACCTCCGGCCGCAATGCGATCACCCGCACGGGATCGCAGGGCACATTGTGCCTGCGGGCCAGTGTGGTCTAAATGCTGCAAGCACTATTTTGAACGCACTTGCAGGTACAATGTGCCTTGCGATCCTGTGGGGGCGATCGCATTGCAGCCGGAGGGCGTGGCCACGGCGCCATTCACTTCAATGGTCCGCCACGCCCCCTCCAGCCCGGCAAAAAAGGGAACCGGCCGCAATGCGGCAGTGCGTTCTGGCCAGAGTCGGACTGAAATGCACAGCTTATGGTGTGAACTAACCCTAAGTCCTGTGTCCAGTAGACATGTGCGATTTGTTTTGGAAAAAATAGTTTTCTAGACTAAGTTCGTTAGCGGTAGTCTGTACGCATTTTCGTTTGTGGACGAATTTTCATTGCAGCAAAGTGACAATTTAAATTTTATTTTTTTTAATGTCACTTTGCTGCAATGAAACAAACGATATGAACATTCGTACAGACTACCGCTAACGAATTTTGTCCAAATCCCGAAAAACAAAATAACACAAAATCTGAATCAAAACAAGATGAAACTAAACATTTTTTTTGCCGGTGCAAATGTCTAGTGTCCAGCGCGTCTCGAAGCCCTGCGTCCAGCGGGTCACAAAGCCCTTCGTCCAGCGGGTCACGAAGCCCTTCGTCCAGCGGGTCACGAAGCCCTTCGTCCAGCGGGTCACGAAGCCCTTCGTCCAGCGGGTCACGAAGTCCTTCGTCCAGCGGGTCACGAAGTCCTTCGTCCAGCGGGTCACGAAGTCCTTCGTCCAGCGGGTCACGAAGTCCTTCGTCCAGCGGGTCACGAAGTCCTTCGTCCAGCGGGTCACGAAGTCCTTCGTC